TTGAGGGCCAAGGTGAGCGCTGTAGGTGAATAAATATGGTAATTTAAGCCAAGCCTGCAAAAGCCCTTGACTTAACTCCCCTAGGCCAATACAACCACATCCTCGCCAGAGCCTTTATTTGAAGGGTGCGATGATCCTGACAAAACAGGTCCAAGCAGAGCTTAGTTCATTCCTGGAACTACTGTATATATTCACATACCACATGCTTCCTAATAGGACACACACCTTTTTTAGGGGAAGATTGAAGGGAAAAAAAAAAATGAGAGAGAGATTTCCTCTTAACCAGACCATTCATAATTGTTTTTCCCATTTAAGACACATGCTGCAGTTTTCAAGGAAGGGGAAAGGTGAGTATTGGAGGTGAATAAATATGGTAATTTAAGCTAAGCTGACAAAAGCCCTTGATTTAACTCCCCTGGGCAGAGTTTGCTGGGACAGACCTATCGGCAGATGCCTGTGTGGGAGAGAGAAACCCTGTTCCCCGATGCCATTAAAAGCTCCTTTATGTCAATATAACCACGTCCTCACCTAGGGCTTCATCTGCAAGATGCAATTACATTGACAAAAAAGGCCAGCAGAACTCAGCCCATTCACATATCATATTTATTCACATACCGCATGTCTCCTGATATGACACACGCCTTTTTGGTGGGAAGACCAAAGGAAGGAGAAAAGATAAGTTTCCTTTTAACCAAACCACTCAAAATCAGTTTCCCTATTTAAGGCATGCCACAGCTTTCAATTGAGGGGAAAGGTGAACCTTGTAGGTTAAGAAGTATAGTAATATAAACCAAGCCTGCAAAAGTCCTTGATTTAACTTCCCTAGGTAGTTTGCTGGTACCATGGGTGGATCTAGGATTACGAAAAGTGGGGTGCAGATGCTGCGGGGAATCATCCCATATGACACAACACACATTTTTGTTCAAAAGAAACTAGAAGTTATATTTGTTTTTGCAGCAATCTTGAACTGAGGAATCCAGCCCTAGGCCCCTAGCATATTAGTAAAGTTTCTAGTTTCTTTTTACCTGGAGAAAAATAAGTGGTGTGCTCTGTGTCATCATGGGTACCCTGCTTTTCAACACCCTGGGGCCACCCATGTTGACATCCACCATTTATTGGCCTCCAGGCCCTGCTATGTGTTCAAATTAAAGGCAGATAGAAACCAGCTATAGAGTTGTTACACATTTTTAAGTGCTAAGGTTGTAGCTGAATAGCCATTTTTATGGTGTGATAATTACTTTGCATGGTTTAGTGCATGACTCAAGGGTGAAGGGTGTGATGTATGTAATGTGTAGTAGGGGTCAGAGATGCCATTAAAACACCTCCATCTGTTCTGGTCAAGGGCTGTGAACAGCTACAAGTTTCACCCTTTGTTGACCCTGGGTCTGTTCTCTGCCTCCACCCCCTCATGTAGCCATGAATTCCACACGCTAATGACATGCTGGGTAAAAAAAGTCCTGAATCTTGCTGGTTTTGAACCTGTTTTGGTCATTCCTGCAGGTGCCCCTGGTTCTAGTATCTTGGGACTGAACGAGTAACAAGTCCCTGATCACTTGCTCCAAACTCTTCATGGTTTTATAGACTTCTAATCCTATCCCTCAACCTGCTTCTTTCCAGGCTGCAGCTCCAGTCTTTTCAGTCTCTCCTGGTCTGTCCAGTGTTCTGGCCCCTATTCGTGTTGGCTGCCCTCAGCCCTGGCTGTCCTTCCTTTGGCTCTAGGCTGGGGAAGGAAAACCTGCCCCTGGCCCAGGGTGAGAGGGTAGCTGAGAGTGAGTCGGGTGGTTCTGAGTTGCTGCGGGGGTTGTGATCTGTGACGCTGCCCCGAGCCAGCGAGTTCCCACCGCCATGGCTCGCCTTCCTCGCCCATTATAAATAAACCCTGACTGGGCATGTGGGCTCAGAGCCAGGAATAGAAACCAACGGTTTGTGGTTCCCAGCTGCCACTGCCCCCACGCCCCTCACGTGTCCAGGGCCCAGCTCCTCCCTGCACCCACCTCCCAGCTCCCCCTGCCTCCCAGGGCTGGAGAGAACCCAGGTGTCCCAGCTCCCAGCCCCCCTGCTCTCACCCTCCAGCCCCCATTGCCCTCCCCTAGCTGGGAGAGAAGCCAGGCATCCCGGGGGTCCCTGCTCCCTTAACTCCACCCTGGGTATAACGGGGGAGACAGGCCCAGATTCCCAGGCATCTCCTGCCAATTGCTGGGAGGGAGCCAGAAGCCTGTTGCCTGGCAAGTAGCTCCCATTGGCTGGTAGTGATGTCATGGGGTGATGGGATGGACAAGGGAACAAAAGATGGGGGGGCAGGCCCTCCTGCCTGGAGATGCCTTCCTGCCCTTCACAGGCCCCTGTGCCCATCCCAGCCCCACCTTCCCCCCCCCCCCCCCCAAATTAAGAGAGGGCAGGAGCTTGAGGAGAGCTCCATGGGGGTCTGTGCAGTGTCGCCCCCTCCCCCCACAAAGGAAAGCAGATGAGCAACCCCCCCACCGCAACACCTTCATGAGGCCCAGGGATGGTGAGTCCCTCCGCATGCCAGCCAACCCCTGCGGGGTGGCAGGGGGATCAGGGTGAGATTTAACACCCCCCCCCTCTGCCACTGAACTATTCTAGTACCCTTGGTCAAGTCCCTTTGCCTCCACAGGAGCCAGGGGGCTGCAGCTTCCTTCCCACTGCACAGGGGATGCCAGATACAGTGGTGATGGGCACTGGGGCAGCATCTAACTCTACCCCCTCCCCCCCACTGCCAGTCAAAGCCACCCTGACTACTTCCATCCTTCCAGTCCCCACAACCCCCTGAGCCTTCTCCGCTGGGGCAGGAGGGGGGATGGACACCTGGGGTCACCCCCTACCTGCCTGGGCACAGAGATCCTGCCAGGACTCCAGGCAGGGTCCCAGCTCTGAGGCCCGAGGGAGCGGGGATGACCAACATGCCCCAGGCCCAGGCTGTTGCCATCGCAGGCACCTCGGGTCCAGCTGCCCCCCCGGCCATGCTGGTGCCCCTCACTCCCGACCCGCAGCCCCCCGCTAAAGGTGCCTGCCCGCCCAGTGCCCGGGTTACCCCCTCCCTCCCCGGGGCAGGCACACACCCCAGGCATCCGGGGGATGCTAGGGGGCAGCGGCGCTGGGATGCGGATCCCCCCCCGTTACCGTAAGCCCCGGGCGGGTCCCTCCGGTCCCGCTCCTCCTCCATCGC